GTGCTCGGAGCAGGAATCTCCGGTCTGACAGCAGCCAAAATACTGAGCAAAGAGGGATTAAAAACCCTTGTACTTGAAGCTCGAGATCGTAATGGTGGACGTATTCACACTATTCGTCTGCCGGCTTCGAACGAGGGTGGTGAAGTGACGATTGATCTCGGAGCTAGCTACTTGCACGGTTGTGTGAGTTCACAAGAGATACAACCATTATTCACATTGGCCAGTCGACTGAATATGGTCACTACGATTGCCCCTGGGGATGTTCTTGGTCCCCATCGCGGTTGGGAATGTCCAGAGATTGCGGTGTGGAGAGATCACAAGACGGGACAGTCTGTCCATCTGGACGAGGTTGCTGAAATGAGTTGTCTGTTGGATCGTTGTTTAGTGCACATTTTGATGACTGCGAGACAAAAGAAGGGGGTGTTTTCAACGAAGCGCACGTTGGCTGATATTCTTGACAGGTAGGTATTAGTTTGCTTAGACACACTTTAAGTAAGTAGTCTGCATCTGTTATCTAATTTATTTGGTTTACTTCTTTAAGCAACTCTCCGTAATGCTTAAAGATGATCCATATTTATTTGTATAAGGATGTTAAATTACTTGTTCACATTTCACATTATATCTGCGATTTTCTCAGAGGCTTGGATTGTAAACGTTAAAACGGGATGGATAAAGCTAGCCGTTAGAAAAGAAAATCATATCACGCGGGAGAAGAGTTCAATGATTGCACCCTCTCTTGTTTGTATCCACACGAAGATCTTTCTTTTATTGGGATCCTTACCTGTGAGACCAAGAAACTGTGCCCCATCTCTTAACGTGCCATGTGCGTCATCCATGATTCTCGGATGATCATGAGAGGTGTTGCGGTTTCCAGGTTTCGGTAGCACCTCTATCTAGAACTTATCATGTTCCTACAAAATAGTTCCTTTCCTTTGGTTCTCGCCGGTCACCCAGCTTTCACTTGTGGTTCCGCAATGTTGCCCGCATATAGAAACGACCATAACTCGGTGACCGTCTTCCCGATGGGCTGAACCAAGTGTGAGTAGCTGGGATCCTCGATACATGAATCGCAGCTTTATTCATGCATATGAAACTGCATACTAGATGTATAGTGCTAAAAATGCTGTATTTAGCCATGTTCTCTATCATATCGTCGATTCTGAGAATTGGATATGCATCCAAGCTGGTGCACTTGTTGATTGCTTGGTTATGGTCCACCACCGTTCTTTATTTGTGATTCTCATTATTGACCACCAGCATTTAAGTGCGCCACGCCGAGTCGGAGGCTTCAGTGATACCGTCAGACAGGAGTCGTTTTATTTCCTGGCATCTGAATGTCTAATCTTCCCTGCTGTATCATCAAGAGCTTGTAGCGGCAGGCTTACAATTTATATTCTGAAAAATTGGCAGAGGCACTGTGGAAGCAGGTATGAATGAGCAGAACGTAAACGGAATTTTCTCTCCGCCAAACGATATTTGATTGCTCTTGTGAAGGCTGAGGAAGTCATGTTCGAGAAAAAACATCCGAACATAGATCACTCAGCATAAATAGTTTGAACTGTTCATAGACATGGTTTTTGTATTTGATGGAAATAAAGCAGTGGTCTCTTGTACCGCTGGATAGGGAACTTGACGCAATTGCGATGGTTTCTCTGGATGGGATTATCTTCCACTTATTGATGAGTACTAAGCTCCTGGTGCCAATCAGAGCATGATAAGTGTTAGTCTCAATCAAGCAAACCCGTAGTTAGCCCGGAGGATAAGGCACAGAACACGTATAGTCCAGAGCACGTAGCTTTACTGAATGGATC